CATAAATGAAAACAGGAACACAAGTACGGTCTAGTCAGGGTATATTGGTTTGCACGTACATTAAATCGGGAGGTGAAGCATTTAACAGAGCAAGAACCACCCAAGGCTCGAGGTTAAAGCTCCGCTCAGTTATCTAATGAAGGCAATTCCTGCACCAGTGAGCGCCACCACCGCTTTACTGGGACCATTAAACCTGAGCCAGCTCTGCCCTGGGGCACACACTGTGCTCTCACGTCAAGCTGCACCACAGGGCCCACAGGCTGTTATAACACTGTTGCTGACGCTGCAGCCTCTGGCCCATTTTACTGCCTGTCTATTCCTCCACCATCTGTGACTCCTCTCGCTCCTCGTATAAGACGAGCCGTGTAACGTTTAAGCTGCGGTGCCTGAGCTTTATTTCACATGCTCAGGTATTATGAAATGTTTGAATGTTGTCATCACCTCCCCCTCACTCGCTATAATCTTGAATTCTGGAAAGAGCTAAAGTGGTCGGAACAGCATGTTCCACTTTCACAGGGATATGAAGTTTCATGTTTTCATTCCAGGATTTCAGATTCTTAGATGACTATCATTTTCTACGGACTATTCCAGCGTTTTTCCCCTCCTCCTCTTGTTCCTTTCTTTGCCTTTTATGAGATTCAGTAAAGCTGCATTTCCTCGCTTGCGTGTGACTTGGCTGTCCTCACTCTGTCATGACAAGCCTGAATTGTTACCTCCACCAAAGAGGTAATGTAATCGACAGTGGCAGTTTGTCACGAAAAGATTACACAAAAACTACAGACTGGATTTCCGCATCCTTGAGGAAGGATGGGACATGGGCCAAGAAAGAGCCCGTTAAATAATGGCACAGATTCAGCTTGTTAGCAGGTTGTTGTTAAAAAATAGAGCATATTTAGGGAACCGAAAATCATTTCCTCTCTTTAATCAAAACCTGAGAAACTTTCCTTCACATCGTGCTTGGTCACCTGCCAAAGTAGCCTCACAAAATAGAACCTCGAAAAATTTATGAGCACTTGTCTGGTGGCTGCTATTAATTCCCCCATCATGCCCCAAAACATGCGGCTAATCACTGTTAACACACTTTTTAACACACACTTTCACACGTGTTCTGCCAAGTCACCACAGCGTCTCCGTCGCAGCAGGCAGTCGTGGTTAAGCCACTTGACAAGTGTCTGCCAGATGTTTGGCACTGCACCCGATCTGGTCTCGCAGTTTCATCCACACACGACCACAAACACACTCCTGTCCAGTAGCCTGCTCGAGGAAATTTCTCACAAGCTGAATTCGGTCCGCAGAAATTCAAGTTCTTTCAAAGTTGGCTGCTGCTGTGACTAACTGGTTATATTGAGTGACAAGGCATGGCAATAAAGGGTATTAAATTTTACTTCTTGTAACCTCATCCTCGATATAAAGGGACTTTTATTTCATTTGTGAGAAATCTATATATATTTGGCTGCAACACAAACAAGTCCGACAGTTCCAGCCTCACTGAGGGTTAATGGACGTCGATGGCGGATCTGGACTCTTTCGTTCTTCTCTTTCTCTCACTTCTGAAGTCAGGAAGCCTCATTTACTCCCAATCTCCCACCTTTACTTTACACTGTCCAGCCACTATGACATGCAGTTTTTACAGGCTGTAGAATAAATTGAGTTTAAAGAAAAATACATTTTTCGAAACTTCTTGAGCGACCCCACCCAAAAAGTCAAGTCCCTTCCTTCCTAATTGGACAACAAGGGAGGGATTTCAGGAAGTGTGTTCGAATACAGGATGTTTAATTTCATCACATTGTTATCTAGGAACAGCTTTTCCCAGTACCCTAGAGTTTTTTTAAGAGTGCTTGAGTGGAGACTTCTGTTGAATTAGACATTACGGGACAAACTTTATCCCGCCAACGTCCAGCGAGTGAGCGAGCGTGTTTATGACGGACGCAAAACTGGAAGAATAATATAAAAACACGAATATCTCAAGATTTAAGAAACCATACACGTAGAAAACAAAGATGTCGACGCGGTAAGAAATTCTTTACGTTTTCCGTAGCTCATGTCTGAAAACAACCATTGTGGGTTTGCTTAATACAGTTTTGAAAAGCTGCCAACTGTTGTCACTCGTACATTAACGCTGTCGGCCACCAGATCTTAATTTGAGATCCCCCCTCAGCTCCGAGCACCCTATCCAATCTAGGAACATTGTGAAAGTCTATAAATAAGCCAGCGAGTTAGAACGCCCTGCAGCACAGAAGCCGCTGTTGGTATCCAGTGAATGACTGATGCCCACCCTTGCCTGGCCTAATTTTACACACACGGACAAGCGCACAGGCTCATTCATAAACACACTCCGTGCACAGCCCTCGTCATTGGAAGTGCCCTTGTGCGTCCGCCTGCGGCTCTGAGACTCGATGTAGCAAGCTGCAGAGTTGGTCAGTTAAATTACATTCACTGGGTCAGAGAAGAGAGATGGGAGTTTGGACAGAATGCCGAGAGGGAAAAACACGTGTGTCATGATATAATGGAGGGACAGATGGAGAATAAAGAAGTAGTGTCCCTTAGAGAGACAGAGGTTTGACTCTCTGAAGTTTACTTTTATTCCTAGAAAACACACTGTCCAATCAGAGCTGTCTAATCCTCGTGTGTCGTGCATATTGGTAGTTATTTATATTAAATAAAGAAACAAGAGAAGAAGAGATAAGGAGAATGCAACCGTGTATGTTGCATTTCGTGTTTTCTTAACCATTAATGCATTCTGAGTTCAATTGAATTTTAGCAAGTCCTTCAGATGTTCCCCTCTCTAGCCGTGATTTCCAGTTCCTCCTTTTTTCGTTTTTTCAAAGCACGCAAACATTTTTTTAGTAATAACCAACAATTATTTTGATTATCTTGTATTTATTAAGGTATAGAAAGATATACATTTCCTAGCTCTAGCATCATAATGTGACATTTTGTATGATTTAAGAAAAGTACACTGCTGGCTTTTTTAAACTGGGGTTTGATATATTTGCTATTTTTGTATTTTGTAGACCAAATGACTAACTTATAAGATAACTGAGAGGTTAACTAATAATGAAAAGAATTATTATGAGCAGTCTTACTTTAAAAATGTGATTTTTATTCCTAATAATCCCCCCTAAAGTGGTGCTTTGCAATTTTCTTTCTTATGACTAATACTGTATTTAACAGGATTAAGGTGCAGGATTTATTTAAATTCCTCAGTCTGGGAGTTTATCCACAGAATGTCAGGGTCCTTATCCCGTCTTAGAAAATGGAAACTGATACAGAAGTTTTACCCTCAGTTGAAATGTCTTATTTCATTGTGAGCTCATGTGAAGGAACAATTTTCAATCAAGTCTCTTTTGGTTTTTCACAAATCAAACGACTCTGTGAGGAAGCAGCAAGCTCCCTCCATTGTTTTTATGTGATATTTGAGGTTGGGTGTGAAATCCCAGCTCCCTAACAGGACTCCAGCACCTCTTCCTCATTGTCCCTCAAACACCTATTATATGCCTCCGAGCCTCCACTAAAGTGGGCTTTTATTGCATCTCGAGCTGCCCTGTCCTATATAAAGGGCCTCATTAAACTTGAGAGGATAGGTGTTTATCGTTTGACGCTACACGATGCGTGTTAACACCAGAGTGATCGGCTCAGGCCCTGAAGGATTTACACCTAGGTGACAGGTGGAACAGGAAGGAAGCAACTTTTCATCCCCTCATAACCCTCTGCCTGTCGACACTCTGTAGAACTAAATCTACATACAAATGGGTGTAAATGTGCCTGAGATCAAGTCTTGACACTGTTTGTCCATGTCCAGGTGTACCGGCAGGACTGCGAGACGTTCGGCATTGTCGTGAAGATGCTGGTGGCCAAAGACCCCAACCTGGAGAAGCAGCTGCAGGTTCCTCTCAGGGAGAACCTCGGGGAGATCCGCGAGCGCTGCCTCGAGGACCTCAAACACTTCATCAGCGAGCTGGACGAGGCCGTGCGGCAGCCGGAGCCCTCCATCTGCGACTCAACCACTCCGTCCACGTCTGGTCATAAACTCTCAAAGACGGCAGTGAATCACAGCTCCTCTTACTGACATGTCTGTGTCTTGATTGAGACTTAACATAGGATTGACTCTTGGACGTGATGGATATCTGGACATAAACTGTGGATTGCTGGACTGACGTTACTTGACAGCACAGCAACCTGAAGAATAACTCAGCATGGAGATGATGCAATGTTGCACCTGGGGGACGATCAGTGTTAGTTGTGAACAGAGCTTTTTTTTTTACATTCAATTCCTCTGTTTAAAGACATTGATTAAGTTATTTTGATGTCAAATGTTCAAATTAAAAAAAATGTTGTCTATTTAAAAATCCGCTTCTGTCACTAACCAGTGAAAATGGTTAACAAGGATTCTTTAACCTTTCTTTCTTGTGTGTGATTCCATTTGTTTTCAAAAAGAAAAGCCAGATAAGATTTCAATTTGAGTATTTTCAGCTCTGTGAATTTTTATCGTGATATTTGACTTGGTGCTGCTACAATTTACAACAACAATGTTAAACGTTATTGTATAAATTTCTACTGTTTGAAAATGCCTGTTCAGTTTCTTTTCATTGTTGTCTCATTTAGATTTTTCAAACTTTGTATCCCTCGTGAAAAAACCTGCACAAAGCCTTTGTTCTTTTGATTACTTTAGACAAAGCTTTGCACAAACGTCTCAGTTATTTGTTTATAGTCATATATTAAAACAAGTGACAAATTTAAAATGTTTTAATTACGAGCATTGCATGTCGCCATTAGACATACAGTAAATATCAGGGATGCGTAAATTCAAACGCACCCTTTAATGATTTTATGCTTCCACAAGGGTTTTGTATGTTGACAAATTAATACTAGTACGTGTGAAATATCATTAAGTATAGAAAGATCTTTTTATCCACGATTTTAAAATGATGCACCACATAATCCCATAAACTATACCACATTAAAAAACACCTTTGCAATATGGGTATAACAGTATATGAAAGAATGTCAAAACATTTTTTTTGAATCTTTGGAGAAAAAACATTATTTATTACAAGCATCTTTACAGCACAAAGCATTCAGGTGGTTATGTCTGAGCGAGGGTAGCTAACACTTGGTCTGAGTATGAAACAATGTGGGTGTTACTGCCATTCTCTTTATATTTTATACACCAACAGTGAGCATCGTGGAATATATGTTTAAAATAGACATTGTTACCAAGTAACATGGCACTTTACTGTGAAAAACACAGCTCATCATGTGGCACCTTCTTTGTTGTTTCTCCTAAAATATTATCGAGGTCTCTTCGTTTACCATAACAACTGCTATTTTTTGAATAAATCATTCACTTCAAAAGAAACAATTCTTAAAACACGGATATAAAAATAGCAGTATTAAAATCTTAACTTAGTATATACATCATCAGTTTGTACTATTATGCATTAAATAATTATTTGGTTAGTCTCTATTTTCTACTTTTATCAGCCTCTGTGTACAACAGTGTTGCCATTTTAATGCACACAAAGATATCGCTGCAAAACTTACATGAACGTTTTTAAAACAACTTCAGCAATTGCTGAAAAGAAAGAAAAATGTCTCCACTCCATAATTTCTGTCGGTTAAAGAAAGGCTTCCAAATGTCCATGCATCTTATTAGTGCTACAATTTAAATACACCACGTATCTAGGCCAAAATCGCACATACACAAATATTTTATAACTGTTTGTTGCACATAATTGGTCTTTTATTTGCTCAACAGTTACAGTTAAAAATGTCTTCTTTCAGTAGAGTATGACCTAAAATGATATGTCTCTTGACATGTCCTTATATCGGCACATAATACAGTTTGTGCTCATGTGTTGTTTGTAACTGCCTTTCTAAAACCTTGACCTGTGTAAACCATCTGAAAATCTGATATTACTTTGTACAGTGCAGGTCACAAAGTGATGAACTGAACTGTTAAGAGATGATACAATTTTTAGAGCGGTGGCTCTTCCTGCGACCAGTCTGTGAGCCATGAATCTGGGAGGAGAGGGCTGTAACCCTTGTGGGGAAGTCCTCAGCGTAGTAACGCCCAACCGGTCGAGGCTGAGGGATTGGCTGACCCAGGAAAAAGCCCTCCTCCTCGGAGTCTGATGATGAAGAAGAGCAAGTAGAGCACCAGTCTTCCTCATCTCTGTGGAGACCCATGAAATGTTCGACCCGTGGGTCTCCTTGCGTTGCGCCCTGAAGCATATAGTCAGATCGAGTTTGGGAGTAGGCCAGGGGCAGCCTGTGTGAGGGGTGCGGTAAGAGCATAGCACCACATGGAGGGTTTAGCAGACCCTGCTGCGGGGGCTCGTACGGCCTCTGCGCTTTGTCCAAGGGAACCATGTGAAGGGCGTTGTCCGAGCGGGCTTTGCGACTCCTGTGGTGTCTGCCTTGCCGGTGGCGGTGTTGTCTGCTGCGCCCATAGTGGCTTGTAGAGTGGCTTCTCTCTCGGCCCATCTCCTCTGGGCAGTACACCCTCCGCTGTGGCTTCTCACTCATGGGATGCTTTCTAATACTGACATCAAACCCGTCATTGTATCCATTGTCCACGGTGTCTTCTGAGAACTTAACCATCTGAGGAGGCCTGGATTGGGACTTGCTTCTCCTCAGAGCTGGGGCATGGACAAAGGAGGCAGGGAGACCTTCAGAATGTGGGGACAGTGCGAGAAGTCCTCCTGGTGCACCTCCCCTCATTGCCAGTGCTACCTCCTCCTGGTCTCCCTTCTCCATGATAAGGTTCAGTGAGTTGTTACTATGGTGATGAGATGAGTTAAAGGTTCCCATGTTGCTCATCTTCTCGCAGTCATCTGCCACCGAGGGATCCTGCATGGCAAGGGTGTAGACTACAGGTCTATCTCTGCCATCGCCGTCCACGGATGCACCTAAAAAAGTGATCAGGACAGGCACATTTTGAAATCATGTTTAAAATATAATAAAAGTACATTATGACTGAATTCATCAAACAGTATCCGCCTTACCAGTGATGTTTGAGAGTGCCAGGGAGTCCATGGAGTCTCCAACACCCTGCTCAACCTTCCTCAGCTCGTCAGCAATGCACTCAAGGGAGTCTTCATACCACTGCCTTGTGTCTGGCCAGCAGGCCTGTCTTCCTGTGCCAGATTGGTCCTGATCCAATTCCAATTCTTGGATTTTTCTGGCACTGGCAGGACCCGGATGACTCCCATAGGCAGAGTCTCCCAACCCATCCTGGGACTGGGCCCAGTACATTTCAGGCAGGTGTTTCTTGCTTATCAGACCAGGACTAATAAGGCTGTTGGCTCGGGATTGACTGGAAGTCTGGCTTTGGGTGGGACTGACAGGGGTGGGAGAGGAGGCGGCAACCCCCATTGATGTAGAATCAGGCTTTAACCATGGATCAGAGACACTTATGTGCCCATTTCTGTCGCAGCTGGGGGTGGGAGATTTTACGGGTGGCTGCTGAAGTTGGTGTAACATCCCCCGGTCACCAAACTTGAGCAGCAGTTGAGTCATGTAGTCTTCATGCTGCGCCCACTCCTCTGGGTCCTCCTCGCCACAAGCATCCTGCTCCTCCCGCTCCCTCCAGAACCTCTCCTCTAGGCTGAGATGGGCCAGCTTACGACCCATGATGTCAGCGTCGCCATCAGCATGTCCATCACCCTCACCATTCCCAATCTTATACTCAAACGTTGGGATGGTCGCAGGGGGATTAAACAGCTGCGACTGTCTCCACTGCTCTGCAGGTCTGCTGCTCTTCCCCATACGGACGCTGCGCCGTGATTCACGTGAGCGGGCTGACTGGAAGGCAGAATCTGAAGAGTCAGAGGCATGAATATCTTCTCCCTGGCTACAGGCCTTTGAGCAATAGATGCGACCTTGCTTTGGAAGGAAGGGACAGCCAAGCAAGGATGTTTTGCACTGTGCACAACAGAAGCACTGGTCTGTGGCATGCCAATGTACACCTTCATAGGTCATCTGGGCGTGATCGACACCTAAAGGATCAGTAGATGAAGATATAAGCATTATAGCAGTAGCAATAGCATTAGCAAAGATCTTTCTTGACTTTCACAAATATAACTTACCAATGTTTTCACCACAGGCCTCGCAGTACTCTGCATACAGGGACTCAAAGCAGCCACAGCAATAGGGCCGGCCATCTTTCATGATGTAGCGCTGACCACCGAGCATGATCTCGCACTCGAAACAGGCAAAGTGTTTCATGTGCCAGTGGCGACCCTCCGCTTCAGTGCACTCGTCTGAAAAGATGATCTGAGGGGAAACACACACTGTTAAGTATGTTGAGCTCTTTGTCAATGCCATGGTTCACTGTCAAACACAAAAGGATTGTGGGTACTGCTGCAATTATTGCCACCTACCTCGTCACAAGAAGAACATCTTGGTTTAAGAAGTTCAGCGTGGTGTCTTCCACAGAGAACTTTGCCATTTTGGTGGAAATATATCAGATCCACCAGCAGCTCTTGACACGTGGCACACACAAAGCACGCTGGGTGCCAGCAGGGGCTCGGCCCTGCTCTGGAGGCAAAAATTGCCATCTCCCCTCCATTGATGCCTCCGCTGCACTAATGATCCAACACAAACAACAGATGATCCATAACATTAATGCTTCAGGCATCTTATTGCACAAGTTGCAGTGGCCTAAAATGAACAGTGGGGATTCCAGATTCCAGATTGGCAGAGCACATTCATCACAATGTGTATAACCTTGCGTATGTTATTATTTATAAAGCTGGGTTAGGGTTACCTTGAGTGTCAGTAGATAAGCTATACTACCTTGAGACAAACACACATGGGAGTGACTTTTTAAAATAGAGGTGACTCAGTTGATGCCAGTGACACATGAGGAATGCAACATAAACAAAAGAGAGATTATGGTGATAAGTATTCAAACTCAACCACGTATCTGCTCATGTTTCATCTGCACTGATGCTATAACAATGAAGGCCGAACAACAGGTGATCGTACTGTAAGCTCCAGGAATACGATCCATTCCAAACACATTAGTGAACCCCACAGTGATGAAACACAGCAACAGTTGATAACAAAGGCACAATGCAATTTTAATTTTTTTAAGGCAACGTCAGTCAAACAGATGTGTTACAAATGGTCTCTGGTCTGGGGCTGTTTCACTTTGGTGTAAAAGTCAAGTATTCATTGGGTGTTGCTGAGGAACTGGTGGGCATTTTTGTCCACTGAGAATAATCCAAAGCAGAATACACTGGCCTTGGACTTGAGTCCTGAGATCGTATGACTCCACAGAGACTATCTGATCAAAATGCATCTGAACGTGCAATCATGAGTCTTTATATAACCCTGTACAGCTATGGGATAGCATGCCCAGCTGTTAAGCATTATTACCAGGTTGGACAGAGTGGGGCCTTGGGGACATGGGGGGTGTTGCGTGTCCCTGGGATTTACAGCAGCAGGAAACTAGAGCCTGACAAAGTGAGTGAGAATGTATGTAAATATGTGCGTACGCCCTTGTATCCGTGATGTATCTTTTTGATGACCTGAGCATGTGCGTAATGTTTGCACGAGTGAACATACCTCTGAGTGTGTGTTGTAGAGTGTGTGTGTGTGTGTGTGTGTGTGTGGTGTCGTCGTGGCTGACCCGCTACTCTTGCTGGATTCCTGGCGGGGGATGTGGTTTTCTCGCTGGCCACGGTTGAATTTGCCGGAATCCACATAACACTACTATTTATTTTTGTTGCATCGAAAGGATGTTTTTCAAAATAAAGATCAAGGGGAGTTTGAATGGCACTGCATGCTTTGTTTGAAACAACATCACTAAATTAAAGATAGGAAACAGGGTTCAGATTTTAGAATTTTTCCGATGGTGTGTTTTGTAAACTGCTATGACTTATAGCAGGATGTCAAAATGGAGGCCAGGTGTCCAAAGATCTCCAAAATCCCAGAAATAAATGGCATGCATCTCAAAAACAAGTTCCCCTGTCCACAGGAACCTCCCAACTCTCTTCCAGCTACATCCACTGGGCTGAGCTGTCTGCAATCATACCAGCAGATGAGGATTTATCTGCCACATACTGTGACTTGTTTGGAAAAAAACAGGATTTTAGAACGCTACGCAAGAATCACTTATTAACCTGTGCGTTTCTTTTTTCACTGTCACGCTGAGCTATTAATTGGTGGCAGGAAATTGGCCGAATTCCTCAAGAGGAACAGGGTTCTCTACACGGCTTGAGCATGAGCCTCCCCAATTTCCCCCACTTCCTCTCTCGCCCTAATGAGGACGTTTATGTCTGTGATTAAAACCGTTGCATTGGCCAATCAGGGTTGCGCCTCAGGCTTCCTCCCGTTGGGATGAGGCGGTGGGTGTTAGCTGCTTTGTGATATAAATAACTTCAGACCCACCGGTTGCTTACTTTATGGCTACATGAGTGCTACATGACGCAAGTGGTCTTCGTGTGTGTGTGTGTGTGTGTGTGTGAGTGTGTGTGCGCTCCCGGCTATCCATGTGTGGGACTTACATTTTCACAGCGGGTGTGTTGCAGAGCTCGAGGCAGGATCTTGGGTGTTCCTCTCCCCAGTGCCTCCCTCTTCCTCTGGGCACTGAACATGTGGAGCTCCCTTTTCTCCTCCTCTGACAGAGTATGACAATAACGCACCTGGTAAAAGAAAGGGGTTGACAAAAAGAAAAGAAAGAGGTCAATTTACAGATAAAAGGGGGACCAGTCAATACAGGACTTAAAATCGTGCAATCATTACTGCTGGTGGTTTTAGCTTTCATGTTTTGCATGCAACATCGGGGAAGTGTATCACGCATGTATGGCTGCAGAAGGGGTTTCATTAAAGCTAATTTTGCTCGAGGCTGCGTTGGAAAGGATGGCACAACCCCTTCATATGTGTTTGGTGATGACTGCCTCAGATTAAAGACAGAGACCATCCTCGCAACCAGCTCAGTTGTTCTCTAAACAACAGCAAATGATGACACAGACACAGACACACACATTATCCCTCCTAACCACTGTTATGCAAGGAATCCTGCAGCAGTTTGCTTCCTCAACCACCAGGCCTGCCGACAAACATCATAAAAACAGTGTGTGTGTTTGTATCTCTGTGTGCCCATTGTGTGTCTTCCGAGACCCCGCCCCCCGTCCTCTCCTCTGGTGATAACCCCTCCACCGTATCTCCTAATGTAAACTCTATTAACACAGATGTGAAGGGAGCAGTGCTGGTTTAAACACCATAAAGCCATTATACAGAAGAGGCAGGCATGTGCTTTACTGTCACAGGAGTTTTTTTTCTTTCTGTTTTTTGTCAAATGGTTGAGAGAATGCAGCCATTGTTTTAGTTTTACTAGAAAAGGCTGGTGAGATTGTCCAGGCTTTACTCAGCTGCTGGCTTTAGCTTAGTTGGGGCTAATTATCGTTAAAAATAAATTCTTGCCATTATGATGCAACGCTGATCCCAAAACTATACTTTCAAATACTTGTTCATTTAACACTCCTTTATTTAATGCACTAACAACTTTAAGTATAGTGTGCAATATTTACTATGACTACAGGAACATTTTGAAAGAAACAAACCCCCTAAGGAATCCTGAATAAAGTTTTTTCACATCTGGATTTTTTATCCACCGATCCCTGTCTGACTCTTCCCTGCAGACCCCCTTCTCACAACACCCTGTCACCGCTTCGACCTCATTATCTCTACCTCATTGTCATGCGGCGGCAGCTGGTAGAGGAGCTGTCGAATCCTGTGCTTCTCTCCGGGGCTGTTGACGTACGGCACCCTGTCCTCCGGCAGACAGGAAAAATACATTTGGACCTGCAGATGGAGAAAAGTACGAATGAACTTCGGTAGACAGTGAAATGAATGCTAAAGAGGACGTCTCTTATGGTACAGAAAAGGAAGAAACAAGTATTTGTCCCAACTCTCATGATAGTTTAATATGACTGTAGAATTAGATTTTCTTATGTCGTATGTTCAGTTAGACCTAAGTCACCAAAATTAGCAGGTATGCGCAGGATTTATAAGCAGGAAACACAACAAAACAATGCACCTTGGTGACCTGTGACAATGATACAAACAGAACGATTTAAGATTACTTAAACGCTGTTCTGGAAAAGGTGCATTGGAACCCAGAAATGATAAATACTTGTCATTTGACCCCGGTTGTATCCATTCCCATTACAGACAAAAGCCAGATATTGGCAGGTGTTAGTGGGTTTTTTGACGGGTGGAAAAAGGGCTTAAGTGAGACATGTTGTAACCAACAGTGTTGTCAGTAAAGCTGGAGGAGGGGGAAAGACCAAAGAGAAGAGGAGAGTCTGTCCTCATGTGACACTGTGGGCCAAACATATCAATCTCCATTCAGTCACAGGCGCCTGAGTGTGAAATCTCTGCACACACAAGAGACAGGCACGAGTCTGGAAATGTCAATATTTGCCAAGGCTGATTTCCCCTGACAGCGGAAACAGAAACATGGAAGAAATAAATGTTTTGTCATGTGTATCTAATTTTTTTTAAAGCGGGGAAAGTATGCCCAACAGTCCATGTTGGAGGAAGCTGTCTCTCACGTTTCCTTTTGATGTTTTAACTAACTTAACTTTTAAATAACTTAAACAACAGAATGTCTGCAGACTTAAAATACCTCATTTTATATGTATAATTCCTATTCATACAGAAACGTGTAAGGTCCTGACCTGCTCAGGCCGGAGGCCCGGTGGCACCCACGCATACTCCTCCAGCGCACACCCGGAGTCGTCATCAGAGGTGGAGCTCCTCTGGAAGCCCACAGATATCTTCCCCATCTTTCCACCAGCACGGGCCTCCATATCCAGGCCTCGAGGAGGAGGACGCTCCCCTCTCTCACTGCGCTCCAGATTCATCACACGCGAACGCTGTAAATATAAAAGACAGAGAATTTTAGGAATCACGGTCACAGAGCCCAACTTTTTCTCCCCCGCTTTTACCGTTAATCTCTGCATTTCTCCACAACATAATTGTTTTTGTCCCAGCAAAGTCTTTGAGTTTGAAGGAACGTGAAAAAAGGGAAGAAAAAGACAAGCTTGTCCCACCGCTCCCGTCCTTTCACAACTCCAACCTACTGAGTCACATTCAAGAATAACTAGTATGATTTTCCATCCCATGTATGGCTCTGTGTTATACTTTCCTTGTTTATCCATTATCATGCTTGATAAAGAGCCCAAAAACAGTGTTTGTCCATCTTCAAAGGGGATGTCACACAAACTCGGATGATATATACTGGAAAACCATACAAGGCATTTTCCAGCATGATGCACATAATAGAGGCGGCCAGGCTGTGGCAGACTTGAATGTACTGATCGTGTGTTTTATGAATCACATTTCTATTAAGATCCTATTATTTAAAGTAGGCTACAAATGAGTCATATGAAAGAAGGCACATCAAGTATATTTAGGCAGAAAGTCTAAATTGCATTCATCCTCTCAGACCAGAGCCTGTCATCAGCATTTCAAACTTTTACAAGCTGATAACAGTTGAACTGTTACATGAACAGGGATTAACTTGTCTGGTTGCGGAGCGTCTCTCCCGCCTTCAGCAGTAGCCCTCTTATCTCAGCGGCCATGTTCTCCTGAGCCCCCTTGGCCTGATAACGGCGCTCTGGCCCCAAGGTGTTGAAAAAGCAGCTTGTATTTTGCCTCCGGGTCTTTTGACGTGTTAATTTGCACCAGAATGGAATTTGTTTGGGTGAAAACAGTCAGGAACTTCACACATGGGTCATTTCAAACTGTGTAGGTTTGAAAAGCAGAACTATCAGGAACATTAAGGTCTTAATTACGTCTATTGACTCATCATTATGTCTTTGAATCGAGAGCGGTCAGTTAAGTTCATTTAAAACATGTTGCCTGTTCCAGGTGATAATCAGTTATTTAGGGTCTGTGTGAAAATGACAGAAGTGGGGAGGGGGGCTGAAATGTATGTTTCAGCAGTTATTAATAGGTTATTAATAATTGGTTTAAACCCTCCCCCGAAATGTCTTATGTCAACCCTGATTTTTGGGTCATTTTTACATTATAACACAACTGGATGACTATTTATTCTAGTTCTAGTAAAGAATTCCTGGATCCTCCCACTGATCTGGCTCAGAATCAAAATTTGATGTGTTCTCTCGTGACCCACAATGCATCATTCGCTCCAGTTTCATGGTTAAAAAAAAGCTCCCAATGAAAAAAGGAAGTCCACGGTTTGTCTACAGAAGCACTTTGACACTTCTTTAAGTCATAAATTGGCGTCATAGTTTACTGTACTTTGTGCTCGTCATTCTTTTTCCTCTCTGAAAAAAACTGATGATGTATCTAAACCCTGAAGTCGTGGTTTTCTTGAGGGTCAAAGGTCAGCTGCAACTGAACTCGCAACCTAAACGCTGCGGGAGTGAAACCCCATCCTCCTAGATATGTCAACTCCTGTCTGCTCTGCTCGCCCTCCGGGCTTCTCACACCTCGCCACATAGTCAAACCGCAGTAACAAGAAAGGGGAAAATATTAGCATTCGGATTAGCATACAGTTGAATGGAGCCCAGGGCTTCACAACACTGAATCTCACAGATTAGAAATGCTGTTAAAAGTCAAACACCAAAGCTCTTATCATGGGACAAAAGGGTATTTGACTGTTGCTTTGTTCTTCCATGACTAATCTATCAGGTTTTATGGTGGGACAGATAATGTTATCACTCAGAGGCTTTTCTTTACCTGTTCTGCTTTATCTCACCTAACCTAGTTGAGACCAGTAAGTGGTGCAATTAATTGATTTTTCTATTTTATTTAATGTTTTATTCTTTCTGTATATTGGTGGCTGGCTACGAACATCAAGGTGCATTACCACCATCTACTGTGGGTTCTTCTTTTTCTTCTCTCATCAATTTTGTATTTATTATTTTGTTTCCCCTTCTTCTTCGTTCGGTTTATTAGTGAGTGGCAACCAACGTCAAGGTGCATTACTGCCATCTACTGCTTCTCTCTCCTTTTTCATTCCATAAAAGTGTTTGTTTATAAGACATTCCTGTGCAGCTTGGCATAGGAGTAGGCAGCCATTTATGTTTCCTTTAGTTTACAGCTAAATTTACACATGACATATGTTAATGGACACGTGGGCTGGTGCCAGGGTTCCAATATGTGACATCTGAAGCATTGGCCCACACAGCTTCATCAAAAGCATGAATATAATTACCCACATCACCTTTTACAAGATGGCAAGAACCAGACTGGTTGTAATAACATGGTGATAATTCCTTGTCCATTTCAACATGTTTGAAACTTTGAATCGGGCTGAGTTACTGAAATAACTCCTTATTTTCCATTATCAATTAATCTGGCAATTATTTCCTTCAATCAACTAATATAATATGTATTGTAAAGACCAACAATCCAAAACCACCATGATATTCAGGTTACTCGTGCAGATGGTAAAATAAAGGCAGCAAATTCTCCCTTTAGAGAAGCTAAAATGACCACACACCATTAGTCAATATATTAATTGAGTAATCAAGTCAGGTGGTGTCATGCATTTGAGGATTTCTGTCCTTCCGTCCGCCCTTCCCTCACATCTCCTGCCTCTCATCCCACAAGTAATGGGGAAGTGGTGACTACAGATTCCTGAGCCAACACACACAGCAACTCACATTTCACCATGTCACCTCCTGGCAATAACACAAAGGCGTTCTTTGTGGAAAAACAAAAACAAAATGTCTACCCATTCCTGCTCTGAACTTAACACACGGCGGAGATGTGACAGGTTGAGGCCAGAGGGGTTAAAAAGAGCTTTTTTTGGGGGGAAACAGGCGTTTAACCGTCTGTGTCCTTCCCTGTTTTACTGACACTTTCTAAGCGGCTCTCTGTCACAGAGGGATTAGTCAAGCACATATTATATTCAAGTGAATACAACCTCAGGCAAACTAAAGGAATACTTCCTAATTTAAAGACTGTGCTCAAGTGTATCATATTCTCTGTATAGGCAGATATTTATTAAAACTGGTGCATTGGTTTCAGCTTTACCAGATGTTGCAGATATGGAGATACTGAGAGCTTATCAGAACTAATAATGGTTAAAATGTTTATTTTTCGTCAACATTGTGGGATTTACTTTAGAAAACCTTCAAATTGTGGAGTTCAAAGGCCGAGGTCATTGCTCTTTGACTAGTTGAGTGTTATTTTAAGGCCAAATGGGTGTCAGGGACTGCACGGGGGGGATTTAACACAGCTGGCATGGGACCACCTGCACACACACACAGTCACTTCACTGCTGTCCATGCACAAAAACACAAGATGGAAGACATACACCCATGCATGTTGCACTAATAGAGCAATATACACACAAACAGGATCAACTCTCATCTAAGCTCAAGCCTCTTCAGCTGTTTCAATAAATTCAACCAAGACAATCTCCCACATTGCACTTCATAACCAGCTCACACAAGTATTTTCCATAGTCGAGCCACAAACATTCAACAAAACCCTTTCTGCATTTATACGTTTCCAGAAGTATACACATCTGTGTCCCTCTTACCTCAAGGTAAAGCATCTCTGTTTCCACCTCTATAGAAAGCTCTCATTCACTAGCACAATGTCCTGGTCCCGCGGAGCTTACATGTCTGCAGCATCAAGCTCTAATCAGATCCAGGTCCTGCTCAGTCTGGACAGATCCACACCCCCCTAATGTCTCAGGCTTTTTGAAAGTCAGTTGTGGTGAAGGGGGGGGTTTGGTCTCTCTCAACAACTCATTTAGCCGTCCAAAACTTTTAAGTTCCAAAGAGCAAGGAGGGAGGGCGGCGAGGTGACGTCTCTATCTGGAGTGTCTCTGATCCCTGTGAGTGTGTGGGAGAGTGAGTGGATGAGTGTGTGTGCAGCTCTTGGGGCAGCCAAGCTGTCGGCCCCTCCCTCATTCCTCCCCCTCCAGAGCAAATCGCCCTGCACTTCAGTCATACACACACAGTGTTAACACCCCCCCTCCGTCTCTATCTCACCCCTTCCTCCACCAGATTGACACCTAGCCCCTCTACCACCACACCCTCCGCCCCCCAACTTGGCTGCAGGACCCCTGAAAGCCAGATGACATGTCCACTCGCCTCTCACGCTCTTTTCTCTTTGTTTTTCTTTCATTACATCTCTCTTTCTTCCTCCAGATTTTCTTGTACTACAAGCCAGACCACTGTTTCTACCACGACACTTTCAATTCACTTTGCTTTCTACCTGCAGGAAAAAAGAGAAGAAGAGTTGGCATTCCACTTTTTTAGGCAGCGTTAAAAAGAAAGAGGCAGTTTTATTCTGGTCAGCTCCACTATGCTCTTTATCTCCCTCCAAGACAAACTTCTATTTATAAAACAAGTGACAGCACACTCCAACACATTCTCTCTGTCGTTAAATGGATCCTGGGGTCATCCGGTCTCATGCAGCTCATGTCATTTTGCGACTGATGTCGAAATGAATTTGTATTGGCTGCAAATTCGATCATCTAAAATGTTTTTAGCCTGGCAGCACACAAATGAGGTTGTGCACACAATTGAGCAGAGTAGGGTTGTATCTTGATGAAACATCATTTTATAAAATGATGACCAGAGGTATGTCTAACCTGATATGGATGATATAGCTGCTTTAAAACATTCACCTGAATCTTCTGGATTCTTCTGTTGTTATTAACCCATCTGACAGAGGCAATGTCCCGCTGCATTCTTCATGTGCAAGAGACAAACCCCTGACGATAAACGGTCCCAATTTTCCAGGCATTTTTCTTTAAATGTTTGGTGGTTTCATGTTTTCTCTTCAGCTTTAAAAACAACCCTTTCCAAAACCAATCAGAGAATGTTGGAATGCATCATTCACCATAGTACCAAAAACTGACATTTCCATGGCCTTTAATGGTTCAACAGTGAGCCTGGTGAGTGTGATCGAAATGCAGTCAACAATATATTTTGCAGCAACAACAGAGTTCATGTGTGAAAACTGCTGCATCCCCACTTTAGTTAAGTTATCTTTTTATTCTTCATGTTTCTTGCCTCATCTCGTTTTATTTTGAAACTCACATATTGTTTCAGGTTTTTTCACTTCCTGATCCTCCTGATTATTATGTGTCACACCTGTGTCTTGTTGTCTCTGCTCCTTTTTCTGCTGTTTCCTCTCAGAGTCTCAGTTCGACTCAACGCCTGAGGAGTTCAGAGCTCCTGCACTTTGTTAGTTATGCTTCCTACATATATGACCCCACAGTGTTGTTGTCGTCAGTCTGTCTTTTGTTGGCACCTTTGCTTTCTCTTGCACTGACTCTCATGTAGCAAACATTTAAGATTGTTTGTTGAGTCTGAATGAGCTTCAATAAAGCCTCTGCCAGTGTGATACACAGACACTTGGCACTTGAAGGCAGCAAAAAGAAGCTTTACTCAACCCTGACATGTTATCACCCTTTAAGTTAATGTCGCTAACTCCAAGTCCCTCGATTAGATACAGAGTGACATCATTAATATGCAATATTTGATTCCTCAGTTTTTTTTCTCTGGAAACAGTAGCTTGCTGAACATTTCTGAAGACGCAACAAAGCGCTGTAAAGTTGAGCTAAGGGACTGCATGGGGCTGATGATCTATTATTTGCATATGAGCATTCATGTGATCCATTGTTAAAACAAAAATACTGATGATACTTACGAAAATGGATCCACAGTGTTGGAAACACAAGATAATTTAAAAGCAGCTAATGATTTATCTTTCCTAAACTGAACTCCTTGTGTCTCGCTGGGTGTTTTTCTGGTTAAATATTGACCGTGCTTCCTCCTGAGTCAACCTCATCCATCTCAGGAAATTTCTCAGGCAGGAGACATGTTTTCTCACTGATTCCGACATCCAACACCCCCCACCCCTTCCTATTTTGGGAGATCTGAATGAGCATGCGGGGGGGCAGGTCATTGTCATGCGTTTTTTGTGAGCACTTCACATCAGGAAACTCATGACAATGCAGCAAGACTAAAAATCAGAAGTTTTGAGACATATCCCCTATGTTAAAAAAAGCTGACACCTGAATTTTTTATTACAAAATGTAAAAAAAAAACTATACAATAAAAACCAGTGAATAGACATAAAAACTACAAATTCACTGGGTATTAGAGGAAGTCTGATGTGATTGATTCGGAGAAGTTGCACATCATCCGTCACTATGAAAAGGCTGAAAAGCAGCAATGGCTTCATTTAAAAGGGTCTAAAATGACAAATGAGTTTGCTCAATTGTCCGGCAGACAAAGACGCCCTCTCCCCTGACAACCCCACAAAGTGACTTGCAGCGAGGGGCAACGGGGCTGCTTGTCACACGCCAAATTACCTGTTACGAATGAGACACGACTCAGTCGGCTAACTAGCACAGAGAAGAGGAGTGAGATGGAGTGAAAGATTCCCAGTGTGCAGATAGATGAGATAGTCTTATGTGCTTTGCCAACGCTGCCTTCCTTTCCTGGCAAGCCGACGCATATTTGAAATTGAGAGAGACAGGATTGGCAGTCCAGTCGGTGGGTAAACCTTTCAGAAAAGCACTCAAGTTTTCCAGGGGTCTTGGCGCCGCTCTGCAAAAGCCACTTTGCGTTTCACCCCTCCGAAAGATGTGCATTGAGTTTCCTGAGATATTTATCTCGATATACATTTCAAAAGCTCTGGAGATCCTATTTTAAGAGGACGGATTTCAAGCGACAGACAAGAACTTAATTCAAATAACAATGAGTGGGTGAGGAATGCTCTTGTGTGAATAGAGGACATGTCCGAGGATGAGTGGCTTTACCCACAGACAATAGGCAGATATCGGCCCTTCAGACCGGGCCTGGGCCTGTGGCCAAAGACCAACAGCTTGTTGGAAAACACAAGAGAACGGCTGACCTCGCTGTCTCTTCTGCTTCCTCTCAGAAATAAAAGGGAGAGGGTGCGCACGGAGCAAATTCTTTTGGGGTTTTGTTATTAGGTGTCAGTTAGTATTTATTAAAGCAAAAGAACATAATGATGCCAGACCTTCCTGCCACAAAACCATAAAAAAAACAATCATATGGATTTCTGTATGACATCAAGCTGTGATGTGGTTAGCCTGCAGCTTCCTCATTTCACAATAAAAGCAACTGCTTCAATGGATGTTGGCTATAATGCGGCAAAAACATGATATATCAGACCCCTGACAAGCTATCAGACGTGCTGAATGAATGATATTGTGGTCTCATTCACATGTCTGAGGCTGATGAGCAGGAACTAACTAATGGCAGGTTTATGCAGTGACCTTTAATCCCCTCGTCCTTACAAACACATGATGCGCACAAATGCACAGTTTCATTAACGGCTAGAATTGTGATAAATATGTCATTTTTCAAAAAGTAATCCAGAAAGGAATCTATCCCTACACTCAGTAAAGTCAGATGTTATTTGGACTGAAACCTTAAGGTCACAAGTTTTTTCCATGGAAGCAAAAAGTGTTGGACTGAGATCTAGTAGCCTTTACGAAACACACATGCACTTGGCACAAGTCCTCACTTCTTCTGGCTGCACAATTCCTTTATCTTTTGGAACAGAACTCAACTGGTATTTGGGGCTTTTCTTCACCTTCATTGTGCTGAGGAAACATGCTCTTATCCACCAGTGACGTGCTTCATTTTCATTTCTTGAAGTCATTCACACCTGACATGACGACTGACACTGTTTCATCCCCAGGAGGCAAGAAGGGGGTTTAACTGATTCTTTAGAATGCAAATATCAGGGAGAGACGTCCTTCTGGTTGTTTAAAATGGAAATCAACAAGGACACTGACATGTCTAAACTTGTTGCAGGACAGTTTGTCATAAAAAGCCAAACTCAAACAGAAGACAATTCCTTGTGTGGGAGTAACATTAAGTCTAAATTAATGATGAGATATGTAATATTGTGAATATAACTATCCTAACCAACATAGGCTTTGTGAGCAGGTCCTGGGTGTGGAGATTATTGTTGCAACACCTAATGACAAGTGGCTGCATTTGAAAGTCACAAAAGCTGTCAGAAGCATACCTCACCAATTCTGCCACCGAGAAGGTGTCAGGGAACGGGTTTTAAAGCAAGACATCTTTCTGCTCACTGACTGAAAAGAATGATTGCGACGAGAATAATCCTGAAAAAAGTTCTGAACACGAGTAGAAGAACCAAAGCTGACGAGCTCACACAAAGAAATCATCCATGGGAAATTTCAAACTCTTAAAGTGAAACTTCTAGACTTTCCTCTGTAACTACATACAGTATGATTTAAGATTATTTTAGATTTTTAGCATGGCCTAGTTCATAGGAACTGGTGAAGTAGCCTTGATAAATAAAGACATGTCACGACTTGTCTTTAATCAGCTACGTTCCACTAACACAGGACAAACTGACTCACACACAGTTGCTTCACAAAAAGTCCTCAGATCCACATCTCAATTCACATCCATTATGATTCCACCATTCAGCCCCTTTCACGCCGACAGACGCCTCTCAGCAGCTTTTCACACCAGGAAATGGATCTTTAGCCATCGCTAACAAGGCCCACCAGTTCGACCGGCTGCTGCATATCAGATCCATGGAGGTCCTGTTCTGTGGCCTCACCAGCTCAGTGTTAATATTCCCTGACACTCCCAAGTGGAGTGTGATTTAAGTTTCTGGTCATAAAACCCTCGGCTGAGATTTGCTAACCACCGCTGGGTGTTAGCTGCACACCTCTGGGACAATAGGACCGGCAATAAAAGTGCTATAAAATTCAGGAAATTGTCAGGTAACCGGGGATGGGAGTTTTAGTAGCGGTTGGTTCTACTTCCACCATTTTCAAGTATCATAAAGAGTGGGTAGT